TGATCATGGTGATGGTGATGATGGTGATGATCATGGTGATGATCATGGTGATGATGATGATGATGGTGATGATCATGGTGATAATCATGATGATGATGGTGATGATGGTGATTATAGTGATGATGATGGTGATAGTGATGATGGTAGTGATCATGGTGATAATGATGGTGATGATGGTGATGATGGTGATGATGGTGATGATCATGCTGATGATCATGGTGATGGTGATAGTGATGATGATGGTGATGGTGATGGTGATGATGATAGTGATGATGGTGATGGTGAGGACAGTAATGGTGATGATAGTGATGATGATGGTGATGATGGTGATAATGATGGTGATGATGGTGATGGTGATGATGGTGATGATCATGGTGATAATGATGGTGATGATGGTGATGGTGATGATGGTGATGATCATGGTGGTGAAGATCAATTCGAGTTCTATCAACGCATAGGCAGAAGAATTTGCACCCAGGAGTAAATGGCTAAGAGTAAATTTAATTCGAGAACACACAGAAATGAGAGTGAAGGACTTGGGCACCAAAAGATAAAAAGGGTACCACTCTCATCTGTTCAATGAATCAATCCAGAAAAATTTAATGAACAGCTACTGTGTTCCAGGCACAGGGGTACAGTTGGCAAAATGAGCCATAACCCTGACTCCATGGAGTTTACAGTCTGATGGGAGAATCAGACATGAACTAAAGGAACCCACACCAAATATGAAATTGGAGTCGATCCACGGCCCTGTCTGTGTCCCTACAGGCCAAGTACCACCTCTGTTCAGCAGGCTGGCTGGAGAGTGGGCGGGTAGCCTACCCCACAGCCTATGCCTCCCAGAACTGTGGCTCTGGCGTTGTTGGAATAATTGACTATGGACAAAGAAACAACAAGAGTGAAATGTGGGATGTCTTCTGCTATCGGATGAAAGGTAACTACCCCAGCTACGCTTCAGATTCCAGGCCACGCAGCTGCTGAGCATCCTCAGCCTGGCCAGCCAACCTCCAAGGGAGAGCTGGAGCAGCCTGGGCCCCTCCCTCACCAGAGTGGGACCCTGTGTGCCCCTGCCTTCCAGATGTGAACTGCACCTGCAAGGTGGGCTACGTGGGAGACGGCTTCTCGTGCAGCGGGAATCTGTTGCAGGTCCTGACGTCCTTCCCCTCGCTGACGAACTTCCTCATGGTACGTACCCTGTACCCTGTCTGCTTGGTTCTGCCTCAGGGAAGGAGCGCTTGCCTCAAGGCTGTGATTCCAGAGGCGGGTCCTTGAAAGAAGCCCCCTGCGCACAGTCACGGTTAAGGGCATGGGCAGGGGACCACACTGCCTGAATTTGAAGCTTGGGTTTGCCACTTGTGGAACCACCTTCGACAAGTTACTTCCCTCTCTGGGCCTCAGTTTCCCCAGTAAAATGGAGAGGATGACAGCCCCAGCCTCCTAGCATGATTGTGATAACGAAAGCACTTAGGCCTGTGGCCACACGCGGAAATGGCCACACTGGGGCTAGCTAGTAGGAGCCTCTCTTTTTGCATCTAGAGCAGCTCGAGGGTCTGATCTGCAGGAACGAGACGCTCTTTGGTCTTCGCAGACCAGGCAGGGCACAGTTAGCTGGGCCGGCCTGGCGACCGGACAGTTATCAACGTGGTCAACCTGCACTCAGCACCGCCCTTAACAGTCAATTCAATACTCTACAGGTTATGCCTCGTGAAGAGAAAGCTCCAGTTGGAGAAGGATCTGGTGCTGACAGATCAAAGAACTGAGCTAATAATAACAACTAGATCAAGAATAACATTTCTTGAGCATTTACTTTGCACTGTGCGTGCATGAACCCCTTCAGAGCACTTATAACTCAGCCCACAGAATGTAAGCTCCCTAAGAGAAAGGATTTTCTCTGCCTTGTGGCTGGCATATAGTAGGCACTCAATAAACACTTGTTACTAGGAATAAATTCTCATGCAAACTTATGAGGTCACTTCTGCTATTATCCCCACTTTGTAGATAAACTGAGGCTTACCAAGGTCAAGGGCACAGCCACGGAGAGGGAACTAGGCATAAGTTCAGGGCTTACAGGATCAGGGCAGAAGTTAAACCAAGGGCTCCAAAATGGTGAGACTTTATCCACAGACCAAAGTATCCCTCTAACTGTTCTAAAATTCAGGGTTACCATAAACACACTAAAGACAATCACTCAAACCGGTGTTTCTGCTGTGCGGGAGCTTGGCTTGTGACAGCATTCAGAAAAAAACTGTCGGAACAAGACCCACTGGCTGTGTGCCCCTCAGCAGATTAATTAACTTCTCTGGGTCTCAGTGGACCTGTCGACACAGCGACAAAGTCGAACTGGGTAGTGACGTTTCTTAAACTGTTTCAGCAAGTATTTATTGAGCACCTACTACGTGCTTGAGATATATCAGTGAGCAAAATAGACATACAAACTAATAAACAGGATAAATAAGTACATAGTAGTGAATGCTAGGAGGTGATTATATATACTGTGGGGGGAAAGGAGGGGAAGGGTGGAGTAGAGTGGGGGAAGGGTACCACCACAGGGTTCCCATTGCAGGGTGATAAGGGACGGCCTTGGTAAGAAGAGGACACCTGAGGCGAGGGAGTTAGCCATGCAGATGTGGGGCAAGAACAGTCCAGGCAGAAGGATGAAAGGCAAGAGTGGCCACACAAGTTTGAAGAATGGCAAAGAAGCCAGTGTGGCTGGAGCCGAGTGAGGGACGGAGGGGCCAGCTGCGCCCAGGGGCAGCGGGGCAACAGGGTCCAGGTGGTTTGGGCCTCATGGGCCATTCCTCATAAGGCCTTTGGTTTTCCTGTGAGTGAAGTGCAGGCCACTGCGAGGTTTCAACAAGAGGAGACTCAAAATTTGACTTAGATTTCAAAGGACTGCCTGGGTGGCCATGTTAAGAATGGTCTTGATTCTGTGATGTGGCTGTGATGTGGTCGGGTTCGTAGAGGAAAGAAAAAGTGCTCCTAAAATTCTGCCAAGAGGCGGCCAGAAGAAACAGCAGCCGGAGGTGGGGCCAACGTCAGGAACATTCCCGGATGGGTGGTGCCCCGCGACCGCCCTCCCTGACCATCCCCTCTCGTCCCCCCCCCACCCACCCACCGCCACCCCAACCGTTGCACACCAGAGCTGATCACTCTTTCCTCTCCCCAGGAAGTGTTGGCCTATTCCAACAGCTCAGCCAGAGGCCGGGCATTTCTGACCCACCTGACGGACCTGTCGATCCACAGTACCCTCTTTGTGCCACACAACAGCGGGCTGGGGGAGAACGAGGTGAGGCGGGGGCCTGCCGTCTGTGCTTCAGACCAGTGCTTCGCCAGGATCTGTTGTCTGTCACCACAAGTCACCCCAAAACTCAGTGGCTACACAGGTGCTCAGCTCACACCGCGGTGGTCCTGGCCAGGCCTGCTCGCGGGTCTGTGATGGCCTGGCCGTCCGCCGACGGAGGCCTCCCGCCCTCCAGAGGACCAGCCCAGGCGTGTTCTTCTGGTGCTGGCAGCAAGTGGTAATTAGGAACAAGCCCCCATTTGGTCACACTGGCTAAGAGGCCACTGGTCCAACAGGTCATGCGGCTGAGCCCAAAGCCAGAGTGGGAAGCACTCAGAGTTATGTGGCAAAGGGCATGAATGCAGGAGGGGTGCAGAAGCAGAGCCCCGGACGCAGGCAGTCCACCACACGAGCCTTCTTCACATCCGGGCACGCGGAGGGGATGGCAGTTCCACACAGGTGGCTGACCACGGGCCCTGGCAGCCCCCAGCCCTGTCCCACCCGAGGGCTGAGAGGAGCGGGACCTCTGCCCACGGCTCCCCACTCGAGGCCCAGCCTTCCTGAGGACGATCTCAGTGCCACAGGCTAGCTAGAGGTGCACCTCTGGCAGAGCCCAGACAAGCAGAAGCCTGAGGGAAGCTTGACATTCCTCCTCTCCACGTGGAGGCAGAAAACCAAGGCCATGAGAAGTGATTTTTTTTCTTTGTCATCCTTATTATTAAAAGTAAAATTGCCTGGCTTCTACAGACCATTCTTATGTTTCTCCTTTCCTCTCAGACGCTGTCTGGGCGGGACATTGAGCACCACCTCGCCAATGTCAGCATCTTTTTTTACAATGACCTTGTCAACGGTACCGTCCTGCAGACTAAGCTGGGAAGTCAGCTCCTCATCACCTCCAGCCAGAACCAGCAACAACCGGTATGAAAAATCTTCTGGATTCACTGGCAGAACTGGAGAGAATACATGCAAAGCTCACAGCGTGCAGTAGGGGCTTAATAGATGGCAACTTTTATAATGTGAAAGTAAACACTAAACCTGCAGTCCGGGGACAGTGTTAGCTGCGCACAGTAGGACACCATGCCGTTAGGCAGCCCCTACCCCTTGGGGAGGAAACCACTGGTGACCACCAGCCCTGGAAACTGGTAATGATGACTGAGGAACTTTACATGAAACCATTTTTTTTTTTTATTTTTAAAGATTTTATTTATTTGACAG